TGGAGATCAATGATGTCGCGGCACGAGGCTGCTTTAGAAGCGGAGGCTAATCTATTGGAGGCTCTCGAAGTGCTTCGGCAATTGCAAGGCGCGAGCAGCAGTGATGGACAGCCCAGCCATGCTACGGGACATGTTGATAGGCAGGAAGAACAGGAGTAGACCTGGGCATTGAGTGGGCTTCTTCGCCGGTCGGCTGAGATAACTTGCTGACTCGCCATGTACAGTTGCCTGAAACTATTGGGTTTCCAAGTCAACATCGAGCGCTGCAGCTCAACCGCCGGTATCCCCCCCCTCCCAAGTCCATATGTACGAGTAGGCGTTTGTTTCGTGATGTTTCGTTGTTGGTGAATCACCAGTGTACGTACTACCAGTGGAACCAATCGGATGTGGCCCTGCGTTCACCAGAACCCGTGGTCGCCGGTGTACATGATGGTCACCTGTTCAAGCACCGAGATCTCAAGAGATAGACTTGGGGTTTCCGAAGTGACAAGCAATTCAAGATACTCCTTAGATGCTCGATAGAGAGCGGCTGCAAATCACCAAGAGTTAACCCGGCGGCGCACTCGGGTGATCTTGAGTTGAGCACCGGAGGAATGGAGCATCACATATCAAGCATGCCCGGCACAAATCTCCCAGAGCGAATTATCTGGGGGATGTGCAATTGCTGTGATGGGGGAAAAAGTACCGTGTTCAAACCCACGCACAAGTCTTGGGAATCGAACCCAAGAAAGCCGTCAACTCTCGGTGATGACAACCATTCAACCAAGAACTCGCTACAACTCCGGCCCCATTGGGGTGTATGGACCGAATCCTGAGGCATCCCCCGACTCATGCGCGGTGACCGTCATCGTCATCAATGGGGATCCAAGCACCTGAGACCCGCGGCTCCCGTGATATGAGTGACGCGACGATCGCTGTTGAACAAAAAGAATATTGGTTCCCGCATGCAGTAACCGAGTTGACGCGACCGTGCTTGGGTTCAGTCAAAGCAAAAGCGAGCAGAAGACAATGCACGCGGGGGTCGGGAATCGAACCCGTCGGGGTTGTGTGATATCACAACCGTTCAACCAAAAGCCCGTGAAAGTCACGAAACGCGACGGTTTCAGACCTGGTCAGAAGGTCCTTGGCGAGCTGTCTGACCACTCGGTACGCGCCCACGGTTGAACTTGCTTGCACGCCGGCCTGATTGAGATGTATAAACGAAACTTTATGAAGATAGATCACCGGGCTCACTGTCCCCACGTGATGGGCTTGAGCAAACCACCGCCGTTTCTGGCTGCTGAAGCGGCGCTCAGCTCATCACCAGGCGAAGGTTCCGCTGGTGTTTGTGGGGAGCACCGGGAGTATCAATGTATACGAGAACCACCAGCGCGCCGGGTCTAGGTGCCGGTGGCGGGTCAGAAGGGTATCTATGAGTGTAGCCGCGGCGCTGAAACATTCACCCTGCGCCAGGACATTCTGACAACGCCGCGCTGGTAGAACACGGCGAAGCGAGACAACCAGGGAGTTACTAAAAACCCCGCCATCAGGGAGCTACGATGCATTCGCCATATGCGCAGCAACCGTCTGTCGAAGCATCAGGATGTACCCAGTTGTGATGGTGCAAAGTGCCCACTAAGTTGTGGGCAACGGAGATTGCTTCCCTCCTATTACTAGGTGAGTTATGCCTGGCGTCTGTGCAATCCGCCCGCATAGAGCGCCATTTGAGTACTAAGCCGCTGCCCATTCGGACAACGAGATGATGTCTAGTCAAGAAATCCATCTCACTATAGTTGTGACAGGGACACTTGGTCGAACGGTTTTGCAATGGTGGCATTCATGGCCGTTACGGGTTCGATTCCCGAGTCCTCTATGCGTTATCGTCCGCTCTTTTTCTCAGCGCAATCGTCACATCGCCGATTTGCATGCTTTCAGTTCCCGACGAGGCTTGAATCGACCGTATGCGCGACGGTGCTTTGCCGGACGCCTCTGATGTTTTTACGAGGGACCAGAAGGCTCATCGCCGAGGGTGATCATAGTGACAAGCGGGTTCGCGGCGCTATATGCACCGCGGGCGATGCATGCCGCATTTGTTCGGTCACGGGCGGTCGCTCGGCGTCCTCAATTATTTCGCCGACCGCGGTCGAAGCTCCCGGTGCTCTTGACGAGACACCTGAGAGACACCGTCGGCAAGCCCAGCGGTGATTTACATTTCTTTAAATGGCCGATATCTAACAGCCAGTTGAGTCACCGGGCATGTCACCGGTGCTATGGTGTTTCTCGCCGTCTGCCGCAGTTCGCCGCTCTCGGTCAGCAGGACAGTCCGCGGTGACTGGCTTCATTACCTGGGTGAACTCAAGCACCTGGAAGCTCAGTCCTTGGAATACGATGTAGCCGGCGCTCGGCGGGGACGTGGCTGAGAGGTACATGTCGCCTTCGGGTGATTGAAACGTGTCAAGATGGGCTCCTTCCACTGACCGGCAGTGATATAACCGGCACGGTGATCTCTATTGGACATGTGCAGCAGGTTCGCGTCTCTCCGAGAGCCACCGTGAGACCTTGCGTCTCATACATCCGTAAGAATTATATTGGTTTTAGCCTGCAAGACTTTTGACAAGACGCCTTTGATGGTTGAGTCGGACAAAAAAAACGAGCAGAGGACAATGCCATGCGGGAGTCGGGAATCGAACCCGTGTAGGTCGCGACTTTGGGCACAACGGGCAGCCATTCATCCAAGAACCCGCATTACCTGTAGGTTTGTTTAAACACATAACTCCTGACCTCGCATCACACAATACGCAACATTGACCTGGCAATGGCGTCGATGGCTGCTTTGCAGTCATTCATTCCGGACTCTTGTGACTGGCGATATGACTGTCACAAGGTGAATTTCGGGGCCGGCGGTGCTCGGCTGGTAGAGCATCAGTCATCTCGCCGGGCTTGCGGGTTCTAGGCGGTTATCTTCGCCGAGGTGCTCAAGACTGTCGTTCTGGCCGTTGCGCAATGCGCCAGATCTCCTAAGGATTGACCAGAAAAGTTTGACGCCAGAACCGCCTGCTTAGCTGGCTAACTATTTCTTTTTCTAGTGACGGCAGATCGTATGTGCAAGTCCGCATCCCCTGGTTGTACCTACCTGCTTGTCTAAGACTGTCGCACCTTGGTGGAAGAGGCTGGTGAACAGGAACATCACCTATGATACCCGTGAAATTTGTTGAGATTCGGGCCTCTCTGCTTTGCTGGTGTTCTCATCATCCGGCATTGTGTCAACTCGGGACCTTTCATCTTCGCCCAAACGCGAGTAACTCTGAAGCTATGAACTAGTATCAAGATTCCCAAGCAATCAGTCATCAAGCAACCCATCTATGTCTGCGTCAGTCATGTAGGTTGACCAGACCAAGACCAATATTCACGATACACGTACCATCATCAAGCGTACACGAAGTGGAAAACTGAACTTCGTGTTCCTCTTGCCCCACAAACCTATCCATATACCAACCTGAGCCGTCGTAGTCCGGCAGACAGACCCGCTCTATGCTTCTCCAAGTTCCATCTCTAAGCTCGCGTATGGCGTTCTTCAGAGCGTAACTATCTCTGTTGAAAACACCGTACAGGACGAGGACCTTCAAGTTCGGAAAGTGGCGCGTTAGGTGATACAGGTCAACCATGGGCCGTAGCCTGCCACCGGCTTTGACGATGAACACCTCGGTGGTCTTGAGATCAATGGCTGGGACTTGAGTCGCCGACCTGTCGATGCCTTGACATATTGAGCTTACGAGGAGCTCATGGCTTAAAATGCTGCGAGAGTCTCGGGGATCGGCCCCAGGCCCTGCCGGGTAACGTGTGTTGAGCACCAGCCCAGGGAACCGAATCGTGAACGTCCATCTATGGGACGTCCGCTCAGGGTCCTTCTCCGCCCATGCCTCCTCCTCGCTGGCGGCAAAAGTGAGTGTCACCAGCTCGGGCGTTTCGTTGTCGGGAGGCCGATCCGTCGGGGTCTTGGTTTGGTAGTGCAGGATTACAACGCGGCACGATGGAAATCCCACTCCACTCAGCCAACTGAGTGATCCCTCTGCAGCGAAACGATCGACATCATTCAAGAACAAGTCCAGCTCTGGCAGGACGAGGTCGGCGTGGATTGAAGCTGCTTCCGGGATGGAGAGTTTTGGCCTCAAGTACTGCCATTCCTCGAGTTCTCCGCACAGAAGAAAATAGCGAAGGCGGGGAAGAGATACTGGTAGCGCAACGGCGGGCACCTCGTTTGAGGAAGCCAGTACCATCTGCAACGCGAGCTCCTCTAGCGATGGGCAGCGGCTAAGAAGGAGGACTAGTTCGTCGCCTGGTATAGCACGGTCCCATCTCTCCACAGCCAGATTCAGTCTGCGCAGCGCGCCGCCATACAAGACAAATGAAGGATTCAGCGCCACCTGAACCTGCACCTTGCGGTGCTCATGATGCTCTCTGCGAGACCGGTCTAGCCGGTCGCCTAGAGCGTAGCGGTACTCAAGATGTTGCAGTTCGCTATCGGGCAGGAAGCCGAGCCATTGTCCCAGAAGCCGGGGCGGGTCGGGAATGCTCGAGAATTCACCAGAAATGGCGACGTCAACGCGAGTCACCTTGGAGAGATGCGGTTTCAACATCTCCAGTATGCAAGGGCATAGGAGGAGGTGGGACGTAAAGTCCAAAGGAATGGTAGGTCGCCGCTCGGTGCATTTCAATGCATGCGACGTCGCAGCGGGAATCAACAGCGCGATGCCCTCCCAGAATTCGGGTAGATCGTACAAGGCACGTCTACGGCGGCGGTCGATGGCTAGCAAGGAAGCGACGGTAGATGTGGGTGAGGGATCTTTGCTCTTGCTGAACCAAAGAGCCTGACTCGGAACGGGACTGGAAGAGATCTTCAACGCACAAGCTTCGGTGTGGGGTCCGTAGAGACGTTTCGTCCTTTGCTGAGGCGAGTCCTCGAAAGTTCCAGGATAGCGGAAGGAAGCAGGCTCGAGCGGCTCCAGTAAACTGTCAGGTAGGGCTAAGGAACTGAAGCGAATGTCGCGAGCCGAGATAACATCTGCAACCACTTGAAGCGCGATGTTCTGCCATAGTTCGATGGGGACAGTTGTCAGCGACATGGCGGTTGTCACCAGAGTCGTAAACGGCAGATTGCTAAAAGATCAGCTTGGGACGACGGACGTCGGCAATCTCCGCCGATCTAAGGAAATCTCCGTCGGCCAGGCAGAACAGGATCACGACATAAATCACCTTATTCCCTGTAGGAGACCTACGCATGGGCAGCAGCGACTGCCAGGCACCGGAGCTGGTAAAACGATAGAATCTTCGGCCAGGTCGCAGCCAAGATCGCGTAGCCGGTGCTAAGGTGTTTCCCGTACCCTCCTGGTGATGGCGCGCTGCATCAGATGCCTCGAGATATCACCAAGAGATATCACCAGGATTGTCCCCGGCGACGGTCGCCGCCGCGAGAGCCTGCGTCGCATACAATTGTAATGAACAAACAGGTTTAAGAAACCAGTAACTTTGACGCGACGACCTTGATTGGGGCGGAGTCAAAAAGAGAGCGAGTAGACAACGCACGCCGGAGTCGGGAATCGAACCCTTCGTGGTCGTGAATGTTACAACGTCACGCCCGTTCAGCCATGCACCAGCTTAATCCTAACAGCCACATAATAGAGGTTGAGATATGTGATACATCTGAGAGGCCGTGCTAGGTTAGACACCAAGAGGAAGATCTCTCTTGAACACAGTGGTTCGTAAAGGGCAATTAAGACAAGATGCAGAATTCAGGAACTTTCTACGTAACGTGAGATGCTAGGTGAGTTGAAGCTCTTCAACGGTAATTTGTCTGAGCACCCGGTGCCGTCGCCCAGATGCAGCAAGGCAACGGTGTATCCCAGACGCCGCTATCGATTCTTGTGAGTTAGTTTCTTCAGTGTCGGTCCTTGGCGGAATGGTTGTGATACTGAGGGATCAACGTTTTTACGGGTTCGATTCCCGATGACGCACTTGAAAGCGAGACGTTTGACTCCTCAGTTTTTCTTGAGCTCAGTTGAATTACTCGTGCGCGGTTAGCCGAAGATGGAATAAACATCAGATCATCGGATCACATTGCTCCAAATTTACTTGGCCTTGGGGCGTACCGACCAAGAGACACCCAAGTTGAGAGACGGAAAGTATCACACCGGTGGACCATAAATCCCCATTCAAAGACCGATCGAGGTGATGTTTGGGTGCATCTTCGTGAACTCCGGCGCGGGGTGGAAAGCAGGCATGACGCGACAAAGCAAGATCTCGCGGGCGAGGACACCAAATGCCGTCTCGTCCAAGTACCGCGCGGAGCCTCTAGGCCGTTGTTTGATCACAGGTCGGCGGTGAATGACGCCAAGCTCGCCCGGTGTATCCTCTATTTCCTGGCTACCCTCGGCGAAGATAGCGGTGCTACAGTGTTATAGCCGGCCTGGCGATCTCTCTTCGCCGTGGGGTTTACGTCGAGCTGAATCTCGCAGAGATGGCCAGAAGCTCTCTGGTGATCTGTCCGAGCATCCGGTGTCCTTGACTGGCTGTGGAGCACCGGCTCTACGACGTTTGCCGGCAGGACCGGATCGCGGTGCTTGGCGAGTTCGTCAGGCAGCGGTGTACAGGGCATACCCAGAAATCGCCAGTGAGCAGTAGAAATCAGTCTTAATGGTCTCGGTCCCCTCGGTCTGTTCCTCGCGCCATCAAGTCGAAAGCCGCTTCTCGCCTTCCATTATCGCCAGACCTGCGAGCTCAGCTTGTATATCTGATTAGTATACAAGGCAGCCTCCGAGACTCTAGTCGACCAAGTTGCCTCCTGTTGCTTCTCCACCCGCATTTTACAAGAGGTCTTCGTCGAACGGCTATCGACTCTGAGAATCGGCGGCTTGCATGATTTCGATTCCCTGAGCCTCCATGAATGTGTTCTGCGACATGGTATTTTCCTCCTTTCGCAGTACGCCTGAAAAATAATACAGAGTGATCAACCAGCCTATGCCTGGACACCCGCAGTGATTGTGCCTTGTGTCCCGTTCAACTGCCGAGATAAAAAATCTGGAAGAGGAAAGTCCACAGGATGCCCGGGAATCGAACCCGAGATAGTTTCCAATATCTTGAATATCTTGATATCGCAACAACTCAGCCATTCATCCTTGAAGCATAACGTCAAAGGACATGACCGGGAGGTATCCACAAGTCTGATCCCAAAGGGGATAGCATCTTGGCTTACGCGGGCTCAGCTGCCTGTATGTTCATGGGCATGTGTCTGAGACACTGGTGAAAGATCGAACCTAGTGAAATGTTAGAGCCGGGATGGTTCCTTCAACAATAGATGACCTGACACCGACCAGAGCGATCATCATCTGCGGCGCCTTGCGGACGTAGCTCGGCGATCGCAGACGGTCTTTTCACCAGTCCTCTCAGCGGGGCGCTTACAGACATCACCTTGGTCGAAGGACCGGTGTCATTGTTCGGCGATGCTAGTATCAATGCGGCGATTTGGGCGGAGAACCCCTCGCAAGCCGGCGCCACAACCGGCTGCCTGGGGATCATATCACCTGTTGGGTCTATGATCCCGTCCGAACTGGATCACGGCGGCGAACGCTACAACCTCGAACCCGCGGGCCTGGGGATATGACTGCGGTCTAGACAGCGTGTACGCCGTAATGAGACAACGAGCCCATCGAGCTGGCCGCGGCAGATCCATCCGGCACCGGCTAGTAGAGTACACCTATGGACTTGTAAACCTATCCATGCTACGCTCATATCTCAGGCAGTGATCAGGCAGCTCAACAAAATCAGGGATACATGGCAGCCATTGCAGGTGCAGGGAATCGAACCCTTCAAGGCCGTTCATTTATGGACGTGACAGCCGTTCAGCCATGAACCCGCTTGGTTTTTTGGTCCGCTCTCACAATATGTATGGAAGACGCATTTTCTGCCAAGATGAGATGTTGGCCTGTGATAAGCACTGGCGGCTCAGGTGATATGACTGACATAACCTTTCATTGTAAGCTGAATAATGGAGTTTACCGAGGCCCTTCGGACAACCGCTTCGAGCTTGCCGCGGCAGATCCATACAACACCGGCCGGCGGCGACTCAAAATGGCATTCTCACAGATCGCCAAGGAAATGGGGCTTCGTGGCGGAGATGCAGAGATGCCAATGCCTGGCGAACGCAATGGCGGCGCTCTCCAGGGGCAAACTGTTTATGTAGCCAGAGACCGGGCCGGTGAGTTGGTGATTTAGGATCGCTTGTCTATCATGGCAGAAAGGGTTGCCAGGCCTGGTGATTCAAGATTAATCCGCCGCGCGGGCGATCACCCGGTGCCTTGGTGAACTCTTTGAGACTACCGGCGCTGTCAAGAATCGCCAGTCACAAATCTCGCCAGTCCCGGCGACCTCTCTCGGACTGCGCATCGGTCAATCGTCAATCTGATCACCAGGACCAAGGGGTTACGGAGGTCGTATTAGCCGCAGTGAGTGACCCAATAGAGTTATCACCGGAATCGTTTATATCACCGTCTTCGCGACTCTCGGCAAATTCAACCACCTCGCATCCACGACTAAACTCAATGAAGGACCTCGCTAGAGTTTACATGGGCACTTCGGAGACAAAAATTAC